TAAAACATCTTTTTACTTTACTGATTCGACAGTTTATTTAATAAACCGAATAAATAAAGCAAAAGGTGAATAAGAACTGGCTAAGCTTTTCCGAATTAGCCCGATCGGAAAATCCCGAAGGGTGATTTTCCTAGCAAAGATCCCATATTATGTCTCTACAAAGTTATAGAGCTATTTTTTCGTTTACATATAAATCCTTTTTAGAATAGTAGTTTAAAATTTTTATTTATGCTTAAAGAAATAGCTCTAACTTTATTTGTAAAGACATAATATTGGTCTTCACGAAGTCTATCCTAAACTATTGAACCGTTGAGGTTTAAAATTCTCGAAGAATTATAGCACATAAATAAAAATCGAGATTTATATAAAAATTTTTATATCGATATTATACTACGTATATATACATGGTTTTGATTTGCGTAGTACTGTATACCGACCACCTCAATGGTTCTATAAACCAATTTTGTAAAGAATCAAAGAGACCAAAACGTGTTTCTGAATTTCGAACATCCCAAATGATTTAAAATGAATTAAACATTTCTTATTCATTTGTATTTTGCAGATTTGTCCTTGAGGAGGAGGGCTGGTTCGACAAATCATGACACATATATGCATTAAAATTTACTGGAGTACCCGTTTAACTTTGTGGAATCGAGACGTGAACGCAACATGGGTGAAGATAATAGAGAGAGACCGGAAGCCTTTCAAAGAAATTAAATGGTTTAATGCCTGTTATTACTGATTACAATGCGGCTCATGGTGGGGAATTGTTTAAAGTTGACTCCAGAACTTTCAATAGATAGAAAGTAATGAATCCAAACATGTGAATAATTATCCTAGTAACACACGTAGGGTGAAGGTTGATGTACTGTACATATGTATGTAGCGTTCCACTGGCATGCACGTACTAACCTGAATCTATTATCGCTATCGTTATAAAATAAAGTTTGATAAATCCGTTTTTGTAACATACATAAAAATCATGGGTTATCGCAAGACTTATTATTTTCTATATGTCATATTATCCGTATTTATTTATCTATCTTATTTTCTTAATCACAGGTTAGTAGGATTTGCTATTTTTCAACTGATAGCGTTAATGATAGCGATGGTTTTTTTTTTATTTACTGTATATAAAAACTTAGTAAAATAATAGTCGATAAATTGATCATGGTACAGCAGAAATTTTTGTTGGTACATTTTAGGGATTTTATGAAAAATAATGAAAATTTTTCATTTAACCAAATTATGAATAGTACATTTGATGATTTTTATAAAGTGCGTCCAAGAACAACCTTTAAAGTAATTTAACAATGAAGTTTAATTTGGTGTCTCCGTGACCTCAAAGGATTATCTTTCAATATGTAGAATAAATAAAGGTTTACATTACTGCTGTTTAACAAAGAAGCCAAATTACGAATTTAGTAGAATTTCTCCGGATTGGTATTCCGAGTTTTCAATAACATCATATCATATCAGGAATCAGTAATCAGTTGTGACATGATATGTTTAACCGATATATAAATATAAGGGCAAGCACAAATTGTTCATTTTATCTGCCTTTAAGCGATATTCCGGAGATTTTAATTGAAAAGAGTGTATATAACAGTATAAGAGTGTATATAAAAAAGTAAGACTTGTTAATAAAAAAGAGAAAAAAAAACTATAATTATATTATTAAAATTTCATTTTAAACGATTTTTAATTCATTTTTTTCATTTTCGTAATTTAGCAACAAACCATAATGGCTAATGCTGCCCTTCTCGCTTCGGCACTTAGTGTGGTGACAAACCAAACCATTGTGCCTTATGATGAATATTTGAAAAAAAAAGATAATATGTCTTTCTTATTTCAAATGTTGAATTCAGATGACCTTCATCAATCACATTTAGTTGGTGGAATCGTTTCAACTGATGAAAACGATTTGGTTGAAGCTCAGGTTGAGTATGACGATGACGATGCTGATGATACCATGCAGATCTTTGTTAGATCTTTAAGCGGCAAAGTCTTGACTATTAATTGTAAATCTGGCACTACCATCGGAAAAATCAAGCACAAAATTCAAGCTAAGGAAGGAATTCCACTAGATCAACAGCGGCTTGTTTTTGCTGGCAAACAACTCGATGATGGCTATACACTTTGTGACTATAACATCTTCAAAGACTCAACACTTCATCTTATACTTCGTCTTCGTGGTGGCGGTGGTGCTTTAAACTACTTTCTTCATCCTGACCACCTTGACCCTATGTATGATTTTGATTTCACTAATGTCACAGATACCGCTAGTTTCTTTAGAGGTCAATTTCAGTATAGACGTCCTGTAGGATGGAATCGAATTGCTTTAAAGGTGCTCAATAAGTATGAAAATAACACATGGCTCGGTGGAGCAAGTCGACAATTCCGCCATCATTCTGAACCAAATGAATGGCCTGTATCCTATCATGGAACCACAAAATGCGGTGGTAGATCGATTGCCGAAGATGGTTACAACTTGAGCAGTGGCAAACAATTCCTTTACTCTCAAGGAATCTATACTACTCCAGATGTCAATGTTGCCGAACGTTATGCTGAGAAATTTACTCATAATGGCGTCCAATATCGTGTATTGTTTCAAAATCGCGTTAACCCAGCGACCTTATCAATTCTTTCTACCGCAGAAACTGGTTGCGGCGAGTATTGGATCTCTCCTAAAGGATCTGGTTAGTAGTAGATTCCGTATACTTTTAAATTTTGTAATGAATTTTGTGTTAAATTTTTTGTATAATTGACAGATGTCCGACCATATGGAATCATTATTAAGAGAGATTCTTAAGATTTATAACATTTTGATGCTGGTTTTGAAAAGGATTATTCTATTTGCCTTATGTTTTATATTTATCATGCTTAAAATTTGTACAGTACATTAATTGTTTAGACAGCAAGTGTACATTTTTAATTTTTTTTTCATTATCGTCGTGTCATTTATTTATTTATTGATTTTGATGTGTGAGTCATTTTATAAACTTATGTATTAAAAAAAAAAATGTTGTAACTTTACATCAGTGACTCGAATTAAGACTTGCGTAAAGTCCTGATTTCGAAATACGAACTTTAAAATAAACAGCGCACTATGCAATTTTGAGCAAATTACAATCTTATAACAACAGGTTGCTTCAATAGCATGCAGAATATTATTCTTATCTGTCTGCCTCTTAACAAAATTTTCGCTCATAATTGCCTAGTGTTCTGATTCGGATTAATCCCGAACTTTCGAAGCTTTTAAGCCTATATTAAAAAGTAGGGGGTATATCGATCATTTATCATATGATTTTAGTGGGGAAATTCATATCGATATATGTTACAAGAATACGCCTCTGATAAAAATTTTCAAAGCCACGGTTAACCCCTGCTAAAATTTTGTTAAACGCAAATCAGAATCCACTATTTATAGCTGTGGAGCAGTTCTATTTTAAAAAAATGCACTTTAAATATACTGTATATATATATAGTAAAATTTTCTAGATTAATTTGAGGCAGCTGATATATATACCCCCAATTTTTTTATTCGTACCCCCTTGAAAACTAAACTTTTTTCAAACTTTAAAAAAAAGATATCACGACAACCACCAAGCCAAATTCGATAAACTTTTTTTAATTTGGATTCTATAAATTTGTAAAATTCGGATAGAAAAACGTTTATCGAATTTGGCTTGGTGGTTGTCGAGTAGGGTTGTGGGCACGGGTAATAAAATAGGCATGCCCTATGGGCATGCCCCTATATAGTCACATGATGAATAACTGACTAATCAAATTATACACAGAAACCTATAATCGGCCAATCAACATCTCAAAATTTCATATAACTTTTGCTTAATCATAGATAGTTCGGGGATATAGCATTATTTGGCTATTGTGGATTACACCTTATTTAGCAATGATCATCCGTCAGATTGTTCTAGATTTTTTTCCAGATCATTTCGAGATTGGCCAATAAAATTTAAATGTTTAAATAAGTTAATCGGTCCCACAGTAATTTATAAGCTAAAGTTCTGCAAAACAAGACTCCAATTTGGCCCAAATATATGACCTCTATAAATGCCAAAATGCACTTTTTCTTATTATTTTCTAAGTGCATGTTAAAGTGCAATCTCAAGAACATGCACTTATAGAGATTTTAACGTATTTGATATCAAATAAGACTGTATTAATTTATTTTATTTCCAAATAATAGTTTTTTATTAAAAATGTTATAAGGTTTGCAAATACAGTATTTAAGTTTCAAAACAAATAATTTGAAAAGTATAGGTATGATTAGTTATGTCATTGAAAGAATTGCTACTAGCCAAAAGTATTAATTAAACTACAGAATATATTGTAAGTGATTTGAAATAAAACGATGATATGTTTTCGAGAAAATTAGCAAGTGAATTGCACCCAGGTATCATCATAACAGTAGGATGAGTGAGAAGCAGTATCTAGTGGTTTCTTATCTACTCAATACAGGTTGACTATTAAAATAGAAAAATGGCATAATTAAAAAACCACTATGTGTGGTGAGAAGAGTTGGGTTGAGAAAAATGAGACAGTTGCAATACTTAGTTGTGTTGAAAGAGGGAGAAATTTCTGAAGACTAATATCTTATTTGATTCCAACCCATATTATTAGTAGCTATGTGGTATATAACTCTGACTATTCTTTTGTCTTTTCGATTAGTATTGTAGTGACTCTTGTCAACACACCTATTTATTTTTATTTTTAAAATAAATTTTTTTCTTTAACTCTTTAATGGTCTTGTCAAAGCTCAAATACAAAACTTTATTTATTTAATTAACAATAGTAAATTATTCCAACTAAACTAAGCTTTTAAATTGCAAGCTTGATATCTCCTAGCTATAGAAACTGTGCCTATAAGCAACTCATTACACTATCTTGTATACAAGTTGGGTAGACCTTATTAACCTGTCAAAAGCTAATTCTTTTAATTCTTTTTTCTTTACCGAGAGCAAAAAAAAGTAGTAATTTTATACTAACACTACAAAATCACTAATTATGAAAAAAAAAAACTACTATATATCTAATAACAAAACAAAATAAACGAAAGAGAAACTTTAAATAAAAAAAAAGGAGAAAAAAAACATATAAAAAAGAAAACCAAAGAGAAAAGCCAATAAGGCTGACAAAGTGAAGTGCTATAGGATCCCGAAGAACTCTGATACAACTTAGATCTAAGTTTGTATAAAGTTCATATAAATTTGGCCAAATAGATATATAAAATAGAG